TCCTCCTCCCCCCCCCACTCCTCCTCCTCCCCCCCCACTCCTCCTCCTCCTCCCCCCCCCACTCCTCCTCCTCCCCCCTCCTCCCCCTCCTCCTCCCCCCCTCCTCCTCCTCCTCCTCCCCCCCTCCTCCTCCTACTCCTCCTCCTCCCCCCCCTCCTCCTTCTCCTCCTCCCCCCCTCCTCCTCCCCCTCCTCCTCCTCCCCCTCCTCCCCCTCCTCCTCCCCCTCCTCCCCCCTCCTCCCCCCTCCCCCTCCTCCCTCCTCCCCCCTCCTCCCCCCCCCACTCCTCCCCCGTCAATGAATCTCCTTGACACCCCTCCACCCAACACTGAGCCATCCTATCGCTCGCAGGTCAGGGCCTAAACCCCTTAAACATTCGAAAGTGTCAAACCCCCTTCGGCTCTTTCGGGCTAAACAACAACAAAAAGAAAGAGTCAATCGCGTAGGGTAGAGAAATACAAATTTAAAAAAAATAAAATTTAAAATTTTTATTTTTTTTAAAAATAATTCACAATTCGATCGCCACGCAAGCAATCGTCATCAGGTGAGACCACCACAACTGCAAGTTCCACTTTCTGCACCACCACCACCACCCCCCCACCACTCCCCCCACCACCACCCCCCCACTTCTCTCCCCACCTGCAGCCCGAAGCTGCGGTTGCCACACCTGATGTGGGTCGCTTGCGTTTCGATCGAAACGTCGCGAGCTATGATTTTATTACGTTTAACAAAAAATAGTTGTGAGTCATTCACGTCTGTGGGCAGATTGTTATTGTTTCACACCCGCCCCCCACCACCCACCCACCACCCACCCACCACCCACCCACCCACCACCCACCCACCACCCACCCACCCACCACCCACAACCCACCCACCCACGCGATGCGGTTGTGTGTTGGCACGCTGATTGCCGCGACTGATTGCCGCGACTGATTGAAGTAACGAATTGCCGCGATGGATTTCCGCAACTTTGACGCCTCCCAATTCTGTACCCCGCCCTCACCCCCCCCCCGGGAGTTTCCGCCTGGGTCACACAGAATAAAATAAAACACTAAGCAACATCTCCGTCTCTCTCTGTCTCTCTCTTCACTACACTACACTATACACTACACTATACACTATACACTACACTATACACTACACTATACACTACACACTATACAATACACACTATACAATACACTACTATACAATACACTACACTATACACTACACTATACACTACACTATACACTACACTATACACTATACATTACACTATACACTACACTACACTATACACTACACTATACACTACACTATACACTACACTATACACTACACTATACACTACACTATACACTACACTATACACTACACTATACACTACACTACACTATACACTGGACTATACACTGGACTATACACTACTATACACTACACTATACACTACTATATACTACATTATACACTACACTACTATACACTACTAAACACTATACACTACTACACTATACACTACACTACTATACACTATACACTACACTACTATACACTACACTATACACTACACTATACGCTACACTATGCACTACTATACACTACACTATACATTACACTACACAATACACTACACTACACAATACACTATACACTACACTATACACTACACAATCCCATCTCAAGGGAGAAACCCAAACATTCTAAAGCGTGTGGGTTGATAGCTGCCTTATCTGAACCGGTCCTGGGCCTCCCCTAGGTCGACTCAGCCTCAAACGAGTAGCTGGTGTAGCGGTGGTGGTGTAGTGGTTACCATCGCTAGCACTGGGGGAGAGACAAAGGCGGCCGGGCGTGGTGCTGGCCACCCACCCCCTCTGTGTGTGCCACAGTGCCGGTAGCCTCCATAGGTAGCGCTGCTGTTACTAACAGCACTTGCCCCTACAGCCTGCTAGAGGCTACACGGGGGACCTTTGTCTGTGTCTACCTTCATAGACGCTGCTGCTGCTACTCACTAACAGCACTTGCCCCTACAGCCTGTTAGAGGCTACACGGGGGACCTTTGTCTGTGTCTACCTTCATAGACGCTGCTGCTGCTACTCGCTACTACCAACAGCACTTGCCCCTACAGCCTGCTAGAGGCTACACGGGGGACCTTTGTCTGTGTCTACCTTAATAGACACTGCTGCTACTCACTAACAGCACTTGCCCCTACAGCCTGCTAGAGGCTACACGGGGGACCTTTGTCTGTGTCTACCTTCATAGACACCGCTACTACCAACAGCACTTGCCCCTACAGCCTGCTAGAGGCTACACGGGGGACCTTTGTCTGTGTTTACCTTCATAGACACCGCTACTACCAACAGCACTTGCCCCTACAGCCTGCTAGAGGCTACACGGGGGACCTTTGTCTGTGTCTACCTTCATAGACGCTGCTGCTACTCGCTACGAACAGCACTTACCCCTACAGCCTGCTAGAGGCTACACGGGGGACCTTTGTCTGTGTCTACCTTCATAGACACTGCTGCTGCTACTCGCTACTGACAGCACTTGCCCCTACAGCCTGATAGAGGCTACACGGGGGACCTTTGCCTGTGTCTACCTTCATAGACGCTGCTGCTGCTGCTAACAGCACTTGCCCCTACAGCCTGCTAGAGGCTACACGGGGGACCTTTGTCTGTGTCTACCTTCATAGACACTGCTGCTGCTACTCACTAACAGCACTTGCCCCTACAGCCTGCTAGAGGCTACACGGGGGAGCTTTGATGATGGAGCTGATTTGGGAATTGTCGATGACCGCTACCAGTGGTGATCGCCCTCTGTCGAGGCTGAGGCTCGCGAAGGATGTCACCGGGCAGTGCCAGGCTAGGTGCTCCTTGAGGCTACTGTGCATTCGGAGGCAGTTGATGAATAGATGGAGTTGGAACACGTGTCACCCACCCACCCACTCACCCACCAGTCCACCTCTTCTCCAGCCCGTGTCACTCACCCACTCACCCACCCACCCACTCACCCACCCACCCACCAGTCCATCTCTTCTCCAGCTCCTGTCACCCACCCACTCACCCACCCACTCACCCACCCACCCACTCACCCACCCACTTACCCACCCACCCACTTACCCACCCACCCACCCACTCACCCACCCACCCACCCACCCACCCACTCACCCACCCACCCACTCACCCACCCACCAGTCCACCTCTTCTCCAGCCCCTGTCACCCACCCACTCACCCACCCACCCACTCACCCACCCACCCACTCACCCACCCACCAGTCCACCTCTACTCCAGCCCGTGTCACTCATCCATCGCTTCCCTCTATGCGGCCAAACATAAGCTGCTTGTGCATGCGGTGACTACGTGGCCCAGCCTCCACCCCCATCACAATGATGGGGGGGTGGCTGTGTCTAAATGTTACTCACTCACCCATTCGCTCACTCACCCAATCACCCATTCACTCGCTCACACACCCACTCACTCAGCCACTCACTCATTCATTCACCCACCCACTCGCTCACACACCCACTCACTCACCCACTCATTCATTCATTCACCCACCCACTCACCCACTCGCTCACACACCCACTCACTCACCCACTCATTCATTTCATTCACCCACCCATCCACTCCCCCATCCACTTTCCGACCCACCCACCCACTCACCCATTCACTCACTCACCCACCTCCCAACTCACCCATTCTCTCACCAACCCACCAACTTACCCATTCACTCACTCACTCACCCACCCATTCACCCACCCCCCCACCCGTTCACCCACCCACCCACCCACCCGTTCACCCACCCACCCCCCCACCCGTTCACCCACCCACCCACTCACCCACCCACCCATCCACTAACCCACCCACCCACTCACCCAACCACCCAACCACCCACCCACTCACTCACCCACCCACCCATTCACTCACCCACCCACCCACCCACTCACCCAGCCACCCACCCACTCACCCACCCAGGTGTGAGGAGCGGTGGAGCAGCGGTTAGCGCACTGCGCTACGAACCCGGCGACCCGAGTTCGATTCCTGCTCACGGCCACCAACACCACCGGCGACGATTCTCCGAACCGGTACCCGGGCCATCTCCTCTAGGTCGACTCAGCCTCAAATGAGTTCACCTGGCGCCACGGTGAGGAGAGACAAAGGCGGCCGGGCGTGGTGGTGCTGGTGGCCACCCACCCCCTCTGTGTGTGCCACAGTGCCGGTAGCCTTCATAGACGCTGCTGCTGCTACTCGCTACTAACAGCACTTGCCCCTACAGCCTGCTAGAGGCTACACAGGGGACCTTTGTCTGTGTCTACCTTCATAGGCGCTGCTGCTGCTACTCGCTACTAACAGCACTTGCCCCTACAGCCTGCTAGAGGCTACACGGGGGACCTTTGTCTGTGTCTACCTTCATAGACACTGCTGCTGCTACTCACTAACAGCACTTGCCCCTACAGCCTGCTAGAGGCTACACAGGGGACCTTTGTCTGTGTCTACCTTCATAGACACTGCTGCTGCTGCTACTCGCTACTACCAACAGCACTTGCCCCTACAGCCTGCTAGAGGCTACACGGGGGACCTTTGTCTGTGTCTACCTTCATAGACGCTGCTGCTGCTACTCACTAACAGCACTTGCCCCTACAGCCTGTTAGAGGCTACACGGGGGACCTTTGTCTGTGTCTACCTTCATAGACGCTGCTGCTGCTACTACCAACAGCACTTGCCCCTACAGCCTGCTAGAGGCTACACGGGGGACCTTTGTCTGTGTCTACCTTCATAGACGCTGCTGCTGCTACTAACAGCACTTGCCCCTACAGCCTGCTAGAGGCTACACAGGGGACCTTTGTCTTTCTCATGGATGTGAAGGCCACTTGCAATCTGCCGGGTGCAAGTTTCTTAAGACGCCCTCATCGTGATGACGATTTAGAAGATTTATTTATTAAACGTCTTAGCTATTTACAGATACAGAACTACAATCGCCCTTCCACCACCACCACCGCCTCCACCACCACCACCGCCTCCACCACCTCCACCACCTCGTCCACTTGAGGCGGCTCCCTTGGTCTACTCTTCCACGCTAGGGAGCCAATAATCCTGACCCCCATTGTCTAATCTCAATAACCTGACCCCCATTGTCTAAACACAATACACCCCATTGTCTAAACACAATAACCAACTCCCCATTGTTTAAACACAATACCCTGACTCCCCATTGTCTAAACACAATAACCTGACTCACATTGTTTAAACACAATACCCTGACTCCCCATTGTCTGAACACAATAACCTGACTCCCATTGTCTAAACACAATACCCTGACTCCCCATTGTCTAAACACAATACCCTGACTCCCAATTGTCTAAACACAATACCCTGACTCCCCATTGTCTAAACACAATACCCTGACTCCCAATTGTCTAAACACAATACCCTGACCCTGATTGTCTAAACACAATAACCTGATTCCCATTGTCTAAACACAATACCCTGACTCCCCATTGTCTGAACACAATAACCTGACTCCCATTGTCTAAACACAATACCCTGACCCCCATTGTCTAAACACAATACCCCCCATTGTCTAAACACAATACCCTGACTCCCCATTGTCTGAACACAATAACCTGACCCCCATTGTCTAAACACAATACCCTGACTCCCCATTGTCTGAACACAATAACCTGACTCCCATTGTCTAAACACAATACCCTGACCCCCATTGTCTAAACACAATACCCCCCATTGTCTAAACACAATACCCTGACTCCCCATTGTCTGAACACAATAACCTGACCCCCATTGTCTAAACACACTAACCTGACCCCCATTGTCTAAACACAATACCCCCATTGTCTAAACACAATAACCTGACCCCCATTGTCTAAACACAATACTCCCCATTGTCTAAACACAATAACCTGACTCCCCATTGTGTAAACACAATACCCCCATTGTCTAAACACAATACCCTGACTCCCACTGGTCTAAACACAATACCCTGACTCCCCATTGTCTAAACACAATACCCTGACTCCCCATTGTCTAAACACAATACCCTGACTCCCCATTGTCTAAACACAATACCCTGACTCCCCATTGTCTAAACACAATACCCTGACTCCCCATTGTCTAAACACAATACCCTGACCCCCATTGTCTAAACACAATACCCTGACTCCCCATTGTCTAAACACAATACCCCCATTGTCTAAACACAATACCCTGACTCCCCATTGTCTAAACACAATACCCTGACTCCCCATTGTCTAACCACAATACCCTGACTCCCCATTGTCTAAACACAATAACCTGACTCCCCATTGTCTAAACACAATACCCTGACTCCCCATTGTCTAAACACAATACCCTGACTCCCCATTGTCTAAACACAATACCCTGACCCCCATTGTCTAAACACAATACCCACATTGTCTAAACACAATACCCTGACTCCCCATTGTCTAAACACAATACCCTCATTGTCTAAACACAATACCCTGACTCCCCATTGTCTAAACACAATAACCTGACCCCCATTGTCTAAACACAATACCCTGACTCCCCATTGTCTAAACACAATACCCACATTGTCTAAACACAATACCCTGACTCCCCATTGTCTAAACACAATACCCTCATTGTCTAAACACAATACCCTGACCCCCAATTGTCTAAACACAATACCCTGACTCCCATTGTCTAAACACAATACCCTGACCCTGATTGTCTAAACACAATAACCTGACCCCCATTGTCTAAACACAATACCCTGACCCCCATTGTCTAAACACAATACCCTGACTCCCCATTGTCTAAACACAATACCCTGACTCCCCATTGTCTAAACACAATACCCTGACTCCCCATTGTCTAAACACAATACCCTGACTCCCCATTGTCTAAACACAATACCCTGACTCCCCATTGTCTAAACACAATACCCACATTGTCTAAACACAATACCCTGACTCCCCATTGTCTAAACACAATACCCTCATTGTCTAAACACAATACCCTGACTCCCCATTGTCTAAACACAATAACCTGACCCCCATTGTCTAAACACAATACCCTGACTCCCCATTGTCTAAACACAATACCCACATTGTCTAAACACAATACCCTGACTCCCCATTGTCTAAACACAATACCCTCATTGTCTAAACACAATACCCTGACCCCCATTGTCTAAACACAATACCCTGACTCCCATTGTCTAAACACAATACCCTGACCCTGATTGTCTAAACACAATAACCTGACCCCCATTGTCTAAACACAATACCCTGACCCCCATTGTCTAAACACAATACCCTGACTCCCCATTGTCTAAACACAATACCCTGACTCCCCATTGTCTAAACACAATACCCTGACTCCCCATTGTCTAAACACAATACCCTGACCCCCATTGTCTAAACACAATACCCTGACTCCCATTGTCTAAACACAATACCCTGACCCCCATTGTCTAAACACAATACCCTGACTCCCATTGTATAAACACAATACCCTGACTCCCCATTGTCTAAACACAATACCCCCATTGTCTAAACACAATACCCTGACCCCCATTGTCTAAACACAATACCCTGACTCCCCATTGTCTAAACACAATACCCCCATTGTCTAAACACAATACCCTGACTCCCCATTGTCTAAACACAATACCCTGACTCCCCATTGTCTAAACACAATACCCTGACTCCCCATTGTCTAAACACAATACCCCCATTGTCTAAACACAATAACCTGACTCCCATTATCTAAACACAATACCCTGACTCCCCATTGTCTGAACACAATACCCTGACTCCCATTGTCTAAACACAATACCCTGACTCCCCATTGTCTAAACACAATACCCCCATTGTCTAAACACAATACCCTGACTCCCCATTGTCTAAACACAATACCCTCATTGTCTAAACACAATACCCTGACTCCCCATTGTCTGAACACAATACCCTGACCCCCATTGTCTAAACACAATACCCCCATTGTCTGAACACAATACCCTGACCCCCATTGTCTAAACACAATACCCTGACTCCCATTGTATAAACACAATACCCTGACTCCCATTGTCTAAACACAATACCCTGACCCTGATTGTCTAAACACAATACCCTGACTCCCCATTGTCTGAACACAATACCCTGACCCCCATTGTCTAAACCACAATACCCTCAACCCCGCTCCCCCCACCCCCATTGTGGATTTAAAGCCAAACCTTTAACTCGCTCATTCAAACACGGTGTGGGCCTCATCTTTAAACAGCGCGTGCCATGCAGCTGATTGACCACAGCCACGGGGAGAGAGAGAGAGAGAGACGCAGACTCCAAAATAGACTCCAAATAAACAGCAGCAGCAGCAGGCATCGTCAGGGTCGGGGTTGAACCCACGACCTCCTGTAGACCGGGCGAGGTAGTCAACATCTCATAGCCACCGTGGTGATGATGATGAGAGAGAGAAGCAGACTCCAAATAAACAGCAGCAGCAGCAGGCATCGTCAGGGTCGGGGTTGAACCCACGACCTCCTGTAGACCAGGCGAGGTAGTCAACATCTCATAGCCACCGTGGTGATGATGATGAGAGAGAGAGAGACGCAGACTCCAAATAAACAGCAGCAAAAGCAGGCATTGTCAGGGTCGGGATTGAACACACGACCTCCTGTAGTCCAGGCGAGGTAGTCAACATCTCAAAGCCACCGTGGTGATGATGATGAGACGCAGACTCCAAATATACAGCAGCAGAAGCAGGCGTTGTCAGGGTCGGGATTGAACACACGACCTCCTGTAGTCCAGGCGAGGTAGTCAACATCTCAAAGCCACCGTGGTGATGATGATGAGACGCAGACTCCAAATATACAGCAGCAGAAGCAGGCGTTGTCAGGGTCGGGGTTGAACCCACGACCTCCTGTAGTCCAGGCGAGGTAGGCTATGAGATGTTGACACCGTGTTGATGATGAGAGAGAGAGAGAGAGACGCAGACTCCAAATCTACAGCAGCAGCAGGCATTGTCAGGGTCGGGATTGAACCCACGACCTCCTGTAGTCCAGGCGAGGTAGTCAACATCTCATAGCCAGCAGGCCTGAGGCCTTTGGGGGTCATTCCCAGCCTCAAATCTATGGCGTTTGTCACCACCATCACCATCACCCGTGTCTCCCCCATCTCTATCCATCACCATCATCATCACCATCATAATCACCACCATCACCATCACCACCATCATCACCATCATCATCACCACCACCATCATCATCATCACCACCATCTCTATCCATCACCATCATCACCACCATCTCTATCCATCACCATCATCACCACCATCTCTATCCATCAGCATCATCACCACCATCACCATCCTCACCATCACCACCATCACCACCACCATCACCACCATCACCACCATCATCACCACCACCATCACCATCATCACCATCATCACCACCATCACCGCCATCATCACCACCTTCACCACCATCATCACCACCATCACCACCATCACCATCATCACCACCATCACTGCCATCATCACCACCATCACCACCATCATCACCACCATCATCACCACCATCACCACCACCATCACCATCATCACCATCACCACCATCACCATCATCACCACCATCACCACCACCACCACGTCCACCCGTGTCTCCTGCATCTCCATCTGACATTGCCGCACGTGACCGACCGTGCTCATCGTTGGTGCGTGTTGGGGGAGGGGGGGGAAGGACAACAACAACTAAACAACAACAAAACAAAACAACAACTAAACAACAACAACTAAACAACAACAACAACTAAACAACAACAACTAAACTAAACAACAACTAAACTAAACAACAACAACAAAACTAAACAACAACTAAACAACAACAACGACGCGGAGGAGGAGGAGGTCTAAAGAAAAGTGTTTGTCAATCGTCAACACGGTGGTGACGACGACAATGACGATGATGACGACGATGACGACGATGACGACGATGACGACGGTGGTGACGACGACAATGACGACGATGACGACAATGATGGTGGTGGTGACGACGACAATGACGATGATGACGACGATGACGATGGTGGTGACGACAATGATGACGATGATGATGACGACGATGATGATGACGATGATGGTGGTGACGACAATGACTACAATGACGATGATGACGATGATGGTGATGACGATGACGACGATGACGATGATGGTGACGACGACAATGATGATGATGACGATGATGGTGACGACAATGACGATGATGATGACGACGATGACGACAATGATGATGATGACGATGATGGTGACGACAATGACGATGACGACGATGACGATGATGGTGACGACAATGACGACGATGACGATGATGACGACGACGATCTACACAGCAGCTAAGTGGCGGGCGGGGGCCTTACAGCCGGTCAAACAAAACCACTTCAGCTGAGGTTCATCCACAACCCCACCAACGCGTCACCCCGTCACGTGGGTGACACCACCCCCACCCCCCTCCCCACGTGACCACCCCCTCCTCCCTCCCCACGTGACCGCCACCGCCCCTCCCCCCCTCCCCACGTGACCGTCACCACCCCCCCCCCTCCCCACGTGACCGCCACCACCAAAAGTGCTCCGACCAATCCCCATCCGCTCCACCCCGTGGTCGTGGTCGAGGCGAAACCCGGGGACTGATCACCGTCTGTGCCCACGTGCCCCAGCGGGTAGACGCTGGGGTGGAGGATCCGACACCCCACGTGCCACCCACCCCCACCAGAGCACGTGCCACCCACCCTACCCCCCCAGGGTCACGTGGGCACCACGTGCCCCGCCGGGTAGACGCTGGGGTGGAGGATCCGACACCCTACGTGCCACCCACCCCAACCAGAGCACGTGCCACCCACCCCCACCCGAGCACGTGCCACCCACCCCCACGTGGACACCACGTGCCCCACCAGGTAGACGCTGTGGTTGAGGTGCTGACACCCTACGTGGCACACACCCCCACCAGAGCACGTGCCACCCACCCCCACTCGAGCACGTGCCACCCCCCCGGGGTCACGTGGGCACCACGTGCCCCACCAGGTAGACGTTGTCGTAGAGGATCCGACACCCCGCCTGCCACCCACCCCCACCAGAGCACGTGCCACCCACCCCCACCAGAGCACGTGCCACCCACCCCCACGTGGACACCACGTGCCCCACCGGGTAGACGCTGCGGTGGAGGATCCGACACCTTGCCTGCCACCCACCCCCACTCGAGCACGTGCCACCCACCCCCACCAGAGCACGTGCCACCCACCCCCACCCCCACGTGGACACCACGTGCCCCACCGGGTAGACGCTGCGGTGGAGGATCCGACACCCTGCCTGCCACCCACCCCCACTCGAGCACGTGCCACCCACCCCCCCCAGAGCACGTGCCACCCACCCCCACCCCCACGTGGACACCACGTGCCCCACCGGGTAGACGCTGCGGTGGAGGATCCGACACCCTGCCTGCCACCCACCCCCACCAGAGCACGTGCCACTCCACCCCCACCAGAGCACGTGCCACCCACCCCCACCCCCCAAGGGTCACGTGGACACCACGTGCCCCACTGGGTAGACGCTGCGGTGGAGGATCCTGCCTGCAACCCACCCCCACCAGAGCACGTGCCACCCACCCCCACCAGAGCACGTGCCACCCACCCCCCCGGGGTCACGTGGGCACCACGTGCCCCACCAGGTAGACGTTGTCGTAGAGGATCCGACACCCTACGTGCCACCCACTCCCACCAGAGCACGTGCCACTCCACCCCCACCAGAGCACGTGCCACCCACCCCCACCCCCACGTGGGCACCACGTGCCCCACCAGGTAGACGTTGTCGTAGAGGATCCGACACCTTGCCTGCCACCCACCCCCACCAGAGCACGTGCCACCCACCCCCTACCAGAGCACGTGCCACCCACCCCCCCCAAGGGTCACGTGGGCACCACGTGCCCCACCAGGTAGACGTTGTCGTAGAGGTGGCCTGCGAAGTCGGGGCTGACGGAGGGCGCGGCACGGCGAGTGTTGCGGATGAACTCGCGCTTGGACATCTTGTTCCGCACGTGGGGACTGGTCAGGTCGACCGACAGCAGGATGAGCGAGTAGCACAGCACGTACACCACGTCTGGTGGGGGGCACGGGTGGGGGGCACGGGTGGGGGGCAGGTGGGGGGGGGCAGGGGTGGGCAGGGAGGGGGTGGGTAGGGAGAGAGAGAGAGAGGCGAGGGTGAGGTTTGTGCCAACACAGAGAGAGACAGAGAGAGAGACAGAGAGAGACAGAGACACACAGAGACACAGAGAGAGACAGAGACACACAGAGAGACACAGAGAGAGACACAGAGAGAGACACAGAGAGACACAGAGAGAGACACAGAGAGACAGAGAGAGACAGAGACACACAGAGACACAGAGAGAGACAGAGACACACAGAGAGACACAGAGAGAGACACAGAGAGAGACACAGAGACAGAGAGAGACACAGAGAGACACAGAGAGAGACACAGAGAGACACAGAGAGAGACACAGAGAGACAGAGAGAGAGAGAGACACAGAGAGAGACACAGAGAGAGACAGAGACACAGAGAGAGACACACGGACAGAGACACAGAGAGAGACACACAGAGAGAGACACAGAGAGAGACACAGAGAGACACACGGACAGAGACACAGAGAGTGACACAGAGAGACACATGGACAGAGACACAGAGAGAGACACACAGAGAGAGAGACACAGAGAAAGACACAGAGACAGAGAGACACAGAGAGACAGAGAGAGACACAGAGAGACAGAGAGACACAGAGAGACAGAGAGAGACACAGAGAGAGACAGAGAGAGACAGAGAGACACAAAGAGAGACAGAGAGAGACACAGAGAGACAGAGAGAGACACAGAGAGACACACAGAGAGAGACAGAGACACACACACAGAGACACAGTGAGACAGAGAGAGACACAGTGAGACAGAGAGACACAGTGAGACAGAGAGAGACACACACAGAGAGAGACACAGAGTTAGACATAGAGACACACACAGAGAGACACAGTGACACAGAGAGACACAGTGAGACAGAGAGAGACACAGTGAGACAGAGAGACACAGAGACAGAGAGAGACACAGAGAGAGACACAGAGACACATATAGACACAGAGACAGAGAGAGACACAGAGACAGAGAGAGACACAGTGAGACAGAGAGAGACACAGAGAGAGACACACACACACAGACACAGACACAGAGAGAGACACAGAGACACACACACACACAGACACAGTGAGACAGAGAGAGACACAGAGACACACACACAGAGACAGAGAGAGACACAGTGAGACAGAGAGAGACACAGAGAGACACAGTGAGAGAGAGAGAGACACAGTGAGACAGTGAGACAGAGAGACACAGAGACAGAGAGAGACACAGTGAGACAGAGAGAGACACAGTGAGACAGTGAGACAGAGAGAGACACAGTGAGACAAAGAGAGACACAGTGAGACAGAGAGAGACACAGTGAGGCAGAGAGAGACACAGTGAGACAGAGAGAGACACAGTGAGACAGAGAGACACAGTGAGACAGAGAGAGACACAGAGACACACATACAGAGACACAGTGAGACAGAGAGAGACACAGTGAGATAGAGAGAGACACAGTGAGACAGAGAGAGACACAGTGAGACAGAGAGAGACACAGAGACAGAGAGAGACACAGAGACACAGTGAGACAGAGAGAGACACAGTGAGACAAAGAGAGACACAGTGAGACAGAGAGAGACACAGAGAGAGACACAGAGAGAGACACAGTGAGGCAGAGAGAGACACACACACAGAGACACAGTGAGACAGAGAGAGACACAGTGACACAGAGAGAGACACAGAGAGACACACAGAGAGAGACACAGTGAGACAGAGAGAGACACAGAGACAGAGAGAGACACAGAGACAGAGAGAGACACACAGAGACACACACCCCCCTCCTCCTCATCCTCCCCCCTCTCCCCCCTCTCCCCTCTCCCCCCTCCCCCCTCTCCCCCCCCCTCTCCCCCCTCCCATCCCCCCTCCCCCCCACCCCCCCCTCTCTCTCCTCCCCCCCCCCTCTTCCCCTCCCCCCTACTCCCCCCTCTCTCTCCTCCCCCTCCTCTCCCCCCCTCTCCCCTCCTCCCCCCTCCTCCCCCCTCTCCCCATCCCCCCTTCTCCCCCTCCCCCCCTCCTCCCCCCCTCTCTCTCCTCACCCCCCCCCCTCCTCATCCTACCCCCTCCTCCCCCCTCCTCCTCCCTCCTCCCCTCACCCCTCCTCCCCCTCTCTCCCCTCTCCTCCTCCTCCCCCTCCCCCCGTCTCCCCCCCTCTCTCTCCCTCCCCCTCCTCCTCCCCCCCTCCTCCCCCCTCTCTCTCCCCCTCTCCCTCCCCCCGTCTCCCCCCTCTCTCTCCTCCCCCTCCTCCTCCCCCCCTCCTCCCCCCTCCTCTCTCCCCTTTACCCCCCCCCCCTCCTCATCCTCCCCCCTCCCCCCCTCTCCCCCTCCCCCTTCCTCCCCCCCTCTCTCTCCTCACCCCCCCCCCCTCCTCATCCTACCCCCTCCTCCCCCCTCCTCCCCCTCTCCCTCCCCCACCCCCTCTCCCCCACCCCCCCTCCCCCCCACCCCCCCTCCCCCCTCTCCCCCCTCCCATCCCCCCCCCCACCCCCCCTCTCTCTCCTCCCCCCTCTCCCTCCCCTCTCTCCCTTCTCTCCCCCCCCCCCTCTCCCTCCCCCCTCTCTCCCCCCTCTCCCCCCCCCTCTCCCCCACCCACCCCTCCCCCCCTCTCCCCCCCCCCTCTCCCCCTCCCCCCCCCTCTCCCCCTCCCCCCCCCTCTCCACCCTCCCCCCCCCCTCTCTCTCCTCCCCCCTCTCCTCCCCCCTCTCCCCCCCACCCCCCCCTCTCCCCCCACCCCCTCTCCCCACCCCACCCCTCCCCCCTCCCCCACCCGCGGTGAGGCACAGCCGTGGGTTGCAGGTGCAGTAGCGGCGAGCGAACTCGGTGACCAGGGCCTCCAGGTAGGGCCCGCCGGCCAGGGGCTCCGGGGCCGCCCCAAGGAAGCGTCGGAGCGCGTCCGGCAGGAACTGCCGCTGGAACCGGTGCAAACCGACGAACTTGGCGAGGACGTCGTGCCGGCGTCCCGCTAGGAGCGCGCGGAGCGGGCCCGGAGCCAGGGTCCTCGTCGAGAACGCGAAGAGGGCAAACTCACCAGGGTCGTCATCCAGGATGGAGCGGGAGACGAGGTAGTCCAGGCCCTGGTGGGTGGGTGGGGGTGTGGGGTGTGGGGGGAGTGGGGGGAGTGGGGGGGGGGGAGTGGGGGGTGTGGGGGGAGTGGGGGGAGTGGGGGGGTGAGTGGGTGGGGGAGTGGGGGGAGTGGGGGGTGGGTGAGTGGGTGAGTGGGTGGGTGGGTGGGTGAGTGGGTGAGTGGGTGGGTGAGTGGGTGAGTGGGTGGGTGGGTGGGTGAGTGGGTGGGTGAGTGGGTGGGTGGGTGAGTGGGTGGGTGGGTGGGTGAGTGGGTGGGTGGGTGGGTGAGTGAGTGAGTGAGTGGGTGAGTGATTGGGTGGGTGGGTGAGTGGGTGGGTGAGTGGGTGAGTGGGTGGGTGGGTGGGTGAGTGGGTGGGTGAGTGGGTGGGTGGGTGAGTGGGTGGGTGGGTGGGTGAGTGGGTGGGTGAGTGAGTGAGTAGGTGAGTGAGTGAGTGGGTGAGTGAGTGGGTGAGTGAGTGAGTGGGTGGGTGAGTGGGTGAGTGAGTAGGTGAGTGAGTGAGTGGGTGGGTGAGTGAGTGGGTGAGTGAGTGAGTGAGTGGGTGAGTGAGTGGGTGAGTGAGTGAGTAGGTGAGTGAGTGAGTAGGTGAGTGAGTGAGTGAGTGGGTGAGTGAGTGGGTGAGTGAGTGAGTGGGTGAGTGAGTGAGTGGGTAGGTGAGTGAGTGAGTGGGTGAGTGAGTGGGTGAGTGAGTGAGTGGGTAGGTGAGTGGGTGAGTGAGTGAGTGGGTAGGTGGGTGGGTGAGTGGGTGAGTGAGTGAGTGAGTGGGTGCGTGAGTGAGTGGATGGATGAGTGAGTGGGTGAGTGGGTCAGTGGGTGAGTGGGTGAGTGAGTGAGTGGGTGGGTGAGTGGGTGCGTGAGTGAGTGAGTGAGTGGGTGAGTGGGTCAGTGGGTGAGTGGGTGAGTGGGTGAGTGAGTGAGTGGGTGGGTGAGTGGTGAGGAGTGGGGTGAGTGAGTGAGTGGGTGAGTGAGAGAGTAGAGTGGAGGTGGACTAAAGGTGGACTAGAGGTGGACTAGAGTGGAGGTGGACTAGAGTGGAGGTGGACTAGAGTGGAGGTGGACTAGAGGTGGACTAGAGGTGGACTAGAGTGGAGGTGGACTAGGGTGGACTATAGGTGGACGATAGGTGGACTATAGGTGGACCAGAGGTGGACTATAGGTGCACTATAGGTGGACTATAGGTGGACTAGGGTGGACTAGAGGTGGACTATAGGTGGACTAGGGTGGACTAGGGTGGACTAGGGTGGAGTACTTCGTTGGCGTTGAAGTTGAGGCTCCCCTCGTCGAGTTCCAGGTAGAGGCGGCGGTAGGAGAACCCTGGGGGCTGAGGGCGCCGGTACAGTGAACAGTGACCCCACGTGGACTTACACAGCCTGGGGGGGGGGGCACGGGGGGGGGCACGGGGGGGGGGGGGAGACACGGGGAGACGTGAGTCAGTGTGGGTCTCTGTATGTGTCACCCTGTCTCCCCGCGTCTCCCCGCGTCTCCCTGCGTCTCCCCGTATCTCCCCGTGTCTCCCCGTGTCTCCGCGTGTCTCCCTGTCTCTCCCTGTCTCTCCCCGTGTCTCCCCGTATCTCCCCGTGTCTCCCCGTGTCTCCGCGTGTCTCCCTGTCTCTCCCTGTCTCTCCGCGTGTCTCCCTGTCTCCCCGTGTCTCCTTGTGTCTCCCTATCTCTCTGTGTCTCCGTGTGTCTTCCAGTCTCTCCCCGTGTCTCCCCGTGTCTCCCCGTGTCTCCCTGTGTCTCCCAGTCTCTCCCCGTGTCTCCCTGTGTCTCCCTGTGTCCCACTGTGTCTCCCTGTCTCTCCCTGTGTCTCCCTGTGTCTCCCTATCTCTCTGTGTCTCCCTGTGTCTCCCTGTCTCTCCCTGCGTCTCCCCGTGTCTCCCCGTGTCTCCCTGCGTCTCCCCGTGTCTCCCCGTGTCTCTCTCTGTGTCTCCCTGTCTCTCCCCGTGTCTCCCTGTCTCTCCGCGTGTCTCCCCGCGTCTCCCCGTGTCTCCCTGTGTCTCTCTGTGTCTCCCTGTCTCTCCCTGTCTCTCCCCGTGTCTCCCCGTGTCTCCCCGTCTCTCCCCGTGTCTCCCTGTCCATCCCTGTCTCTCCCCGTGTCTCCCCGTGTCTCCCCGTGTCTCCCTGTGTCTCCCCGTGTCTCCCCGTGTCTCCCCGTGTCTCCCCGTGTCTCCCCGTGTCTCCCTGTGTCCCTGTCTCTCCCCGTGTCTCCCTGTCTCTCCCCGTGTCTCCCTGTGTCCCTGTCTCTCCCCGTGTCTCCCTGTCTCTCCCTGTGTCTCCCCGTGTCTCCCTGTCCATCCCTGTCCATCCCTGTCTCTCCCTGTGTCTCCCCGTGTCTCCCCGTGTCTCCCTGTCCATCCCTGTCCATCCCTGTCTCTCCCCGTGTCTCCCCGTGTCTCTCCCCGTGTGTCTCCCCGTGCGGTGTCTCACGCCTGCCACAGCAGCTCCGCACTGCCCAGCTCGCTCCAGACGCTGTCTCTCCCCGTGTCTCCCTGTGTCTCCCCGTGTCTCCCTGTCTCTCCCCGTGTCTCCCTGTGTCTCCCCGTGTCTCCCTGTCTCTCCCCGTGTCTCCCCGTGTCTCTCCCTGTCTCTCCCCCTGTCTCCCCGTGTCTCCCCCTGTCTCCCCGTGTCTCCCCGTGTCTCCGCGTGTCTCCCCGTGTCTCCCCGTGTATCCCACTGTCTCCCCGTGTCTCCCCCTGTCTCCCCGTGTCTCTCCCCGTGTCTCTCCGTGTCTCCCCGTGTCTCCCCGTGTCTCCCCGTGTCTCCCTGTCTCTCCCCGTGTCTCCCTGTCTCTCCCTGTCTCTCCCCCTGTCTCCCTGTCTCTCCCTGTGTCTCTCCCCGTGTCTCCGCGTGTCTCCCTGTCTCTCCCCGTGTCTCTCCCCGTGCGGTGTCTCACGCCTGCCACAGCAGCTCCGCACTGCCCAGCTCGCTCCAGACGCTGTCTCTCCCCGTGTCTCCCCGTCTCTCCCCGTGTCTCCCCGTCTCTCCCCGTGTCTCCCTGTCTCTCCCTGTGTCTCCCCGTGTCTTCCCCTGTCTCCCTGTCTCTCCCCCTGTCTCCCTGTCTCTCCCCGTGTCTCCCTGTGTCTCCCCCTGTCTCCCCGTGTCTCCCTGTCCATCCCTGTCTCTCCCCGTGTCTCCCCGTGTCTCCCTGTCTCTCCCCGTGTCTCCCCGTGTCTCCCTGTCTCTCCCCGTGTCTCCCCGTGTCTCCCCGTGTCTCCCTGTCTCTCCCCGTGTCTCCCCGTGTCTCCCTGTCTCTCCCCGTCTCTCCCCGTGTCTCCCCGTGTCTCCCTGTCTCTCCCTGTGTCTCTCCCCGTGTCTCCCCGTGTCTCCCTGTCTCTCCCCGTGTCTCCCTGTCTCTCCCCGTGTCTCCCTGTCTCTCCCCGTGTCTCCCTGTCTCTCCCCGTGTCTCCCCCTGTCTCCCTGTCTCTCTCCGTCTCTCCCCGTGTCTCCCCGTGTCTCCCCGTGTCTCTCCCCGTGTGTCTCCCCGTGTCTCTCCCCGTGTGTCTCCCCGTGCGGTGTCTCACGCCTGCCACAGCAGCTCCGCACTGCCCAGCTCGCTCCAGACGCTGTCTCTCCCTGTGTCTCCCCGTGTCTCCCTGTGTCCCTGTGTCTCCCCGTGTCTCCCCGTGTCTCCCTGTGTCTCCCCGTGTCTCCCCGTGTCTCCCTGTGTCCCTGTCTCTCCCCGTGTCTCCCTGTCTCTCCCCGTGTCTCCCTGTGTCCCTGTCTCTCCCCGTCTCTCCCCGTGTCTCCCCGTGTCTCCCCGTGTCTCCCTGTCTCTCCCCGTGTCTCCCCGTGTCTCCCCGTGTCTCTCCCCCGTGTGTCTCCCCGTGCGGTGTCTCACGCCTGCCACAGCAGCTCCGCACTGCCCAGCTCGCTCCAGACGCTGTCTCTCCCCGTGTCTCCCTGTCTCTCCCCGTGTCTCCCCGAGTCTCCCCGTGTCTCCCCGTGTCTCCCCGTGTCTCTCCCCGTGTCTCTCCGTGTCTCCCCGTGTCTCCCCGTGTCTCTCCGTGTCTCCCCGTGTCTCCCCGTGTCTCTCCCTGTGTCTCCCTGTCTCTCCCCGTGTCTCTCCCCGTGTCTCCCCGTGTCTCTCCCCGTGTCTCCCCGTGCGGTGTCTCACGCCTGCCACAGCAGCTCCGCACTGCCCAGCTCGCTCCAGACGCACGAGGCCAGGCAGAGGTCCGTGGCGTCGAGGTACGAGAGGATGGCCAGGCCCAGCTCAGGGGGCAGCAGGCCCAGGTCTGGGAAGGAGGCGGCGGTGGAGGCGGTGGAGGCGGTGGAGGCGGCGGAGGCGGTGGAGGCGGTGGAGGCGGAGGAGGCGGTGGGAACGCAACGGAGACGCGCCGGGGACAGGGTCCTGGAGACAACGCCGGGGGTGAGACACGGGGGGGGAGGAGGGGGGGGGGGTGAGACACAGGGGGAGGGTGAGACACAGGGGGAGGGGGGGGTGACACGCGGGGGGGGTGAGACACAGGGGGAGGGGGGGGTGAGACACGGGGGGGGGGGTGAGACACGCGGGGGGGTGAGACACGGGGGGGGAGGGGGGGGGGGTGAGACACGAGGGGAGGGGGGGGTGAGACACGCGGGGGGGGGGTGAGACACGCGGGGGGTGAGACACGGGGGTGTGAGAGACACACGGGGGGGGGGGGTGAGAGAGACACGGGGGGGTGAGAGACACGGGGGGGGGGGTGAGAGACACGGGGGGGGGTGAGAGACACGGGGGGGAGGGGTGAGAGACAC